CGTAGTGATCCTCCTGTTTTCAGCCTCCCTAGGATTACATGTGTGCACCACCATGCTACCACCCATAGAATGGAAGAATAAATATCATTATTATCTGGTTTTATTATCACAAGAAGAAGCATTAATGCCAAATGTAAAAATAAAAAATTGTACTTTGATAGTTCTTTTTGGAGCTAGCAAAACTACAAAATTTTGCAAAAGTCTAAATATATTCTTATTACAAAGCCCTCTCTGGCTGGAGAGATGGCTCAATATTATGAATAAGTGCCTGCCAGGCAAGTACAATGTCCTGAGTTCAATCCCCAGTACTGTATTAAGGAAAAAAAAAAAAAGCAATGGGGCCAGGGAGATGGCTCAGTAGAATAAGCGCTGGCCTGGCAAGTGCAAGGGCCTAAGTTCAATCCCTGGTTCTGCAAAAACAAAACAAAACAAAACACCCCAAAAACAAACAAACAAAAAAACCCCAAACCCTGCTCTGCTAAAAGACACTTACCATGGTATTTTTTATCTCAAGAGTAGCTTTAAATTTCTCAATACAGCGATTCTGAAGGCATGGGATGGTCGTTACTTCCGGATTGGTAGACAAAATAAACACTGTGATAGCTGTCAGGAGACTGACTTCATCAAGATCTTCATGTGCTGCATCGACTGAAGAGAATCGATCTATTAGGACAGATCACATTTACAGCTTTGTGTACAAATGTGAAGCTGTCTTTGGTAGTAACAATGTCTTTGTATATGCAACAGATGCAGAGAATAAATACTGATTGACAAGATTTCACTTGACGATAGCCAAAAGGCCGAGAAGCAATTGACAAGACTAAGAACCTGGAAAATGTACATTTTAGATAATTCTATGGCTGAAAGTTAGCAAAGCAGTTATCTTCAAAGGCAAAACCATCAGTAAACACATTCACTAGTTTTGAGATCCTGGGCAGCTAAGTTTTTTTTTTTTTTCAGTTTTCTTATCTGTAAAATGGGAATAATAGTATTTACATTTTCACATTGATTTTGAGTTATGGTCTTTTTTTTTTATTTTTTGGCAGAACTGGGGATTGAACTCATGCCCTTGCACTTGCCATGCAAGTGCTCATTCTACTGAGCCATCTCCCCAGCCCCTGCTTTTGAGTTATGAAGAACAAATGAGTTAATCTATGTGAGACATTTAGGAAAAGGTAAGAGTTGCATTACCTGAAAGCATGCTATGTGATGTATTTAGAACATATGCTACATATAGTGCTTAATATGAATTAGCTAGTGTTCTATTAATAATTATTATCTTTCATTTTGGAGACAAGGTTATTGTATGTTGCTCAAGCTGGCCCTGAATTCCTATAATCTAATGACTCTCTTGCTTCAGCTTCTTGAGTAGATGGGACTACAGGAGTATGCTTTGGTAATTATTTTTTTCTTTACTAAAAGTATTTAGATAATACTTATACCAAGTAAAAATACCTTAGCACTTTTATACATACTTCTTTTTGGAACAGCAGAGAAAACCAGTAGACAAAATAGCTGTAAGACACAAGTGAATGAAGACTTTTGTATTAGAAGTAATCTTATACTGTGTCTCATTTTTCAAAGTCATACTCACTGAATAACTTAAATGAACCTATTCTGAAAAAATGTTACCCAACAAAGAAAAATGTGGCAAGTAGAACTTACTGAATTGTTTATGAGTGAACTGTTACTTATGAAAAATGACACTTATGTATAGTAGCTTTGGTGTTATGGTTTACAACTAAATTGCCTCCCAAAAGTCTCTGGTGTTTTTCTTTTAATGTATTTGGTACAGGGTATACAGGGTTTACAGGGTCTCACTATGTACATCAGACTCATAGTGATTCTCCTGTTTTTAGCTTTCCAAGCACTGGAATTACAGGCATGTGTCACCACGCCCAGTCTCAGCATGCCCCAGGGGCGGGCCGGCATGGCACACTGGGGATCAAACCCCAGCTGCTGTGCTCTGCCTAAGCAGGTACTTTAATCCACTAAGCTATATGGCTGGCCCTGTCTCTGGTGTTTGGAAGGTGAATGAATCATGGGGTGCTGTACTCGTCAGTAGATTCAGTCCTCGGTTGGAAGCTGTTCACTGGAATCCTGATTTGACGGGTATATTCTTGCCCCAGCTCCACCCTTTTGTCTTCTTCCTGGCCACCACTACACGGTTCCTTTCTCATGCTATTACACCATATTATTTTGCTTTGGAGCAGCCAACCAAGGACTGACTGTGGACCAAGACGGACTTTTCCTCCTGAGTTGCAAGCATCAGCCGTTTTGTTTCAGTGAAGGAAAGGCTGACTGGCACAGAAAATTGGTACCCAGAGTGAGATCACTGCTGTGATTGTATCTCATCAGGTGGTTTAGAAGCCTTTTGCTGGAGGAGTCTGGAAAGATTTGGAGATGGGCCAGAGAAGTCATAGAATACAACAGAGTCTGATGGATAATTCTGGTCAAAGGACAGAACCAGAATGCTGATAGAAATGAGGGCAGTAATAGTCAGGCTTAGGAGGGTTTTTTTTTTTTTTTTTTTTTTATTGGAATTTTTTTTCTGAAGGTTCTCAATAGGCAGCTCGGACTCATAGTGATCCTCTGGATTTCTGCCTCCCTAGTTCTGGGATTACAGGCATGCACCACCAAACCTGGACTCCAATGCTGGCTTGGTGCGCCCCGGGGGCAGGGCTGGTGCAGCAGGTGGTACCAGGGATCGAACCCTGGGCCCTGTGCTTATCTAAGTAAGTGTGTAGTCCACTGAGCTATAGCACCGGCCCTCAGGAGGTTTCAGTGACTAGAAGCCATGTGTGTTATTCTCTGGTGAAATTTTGTACCTGTATTGTGCCCATATCCTGAGCTTTGCAAGAGACTGAGATTAAAGGAAGGAGACTATGTGATTTGGTGTAGGAAATTTCAATATAACCCAACATTCAGGCCTTGGTATGCATACTGCTGGCTGCTTTCAGCTAGATTTGTAGTGAGACTAAGGAGCAGCAGAGTTGAGCCAAAAATATATAAAAATAGTTGTGGTACAGTGGGAAAGGAAGGGCCTTAAAATTGGGGTCTATGAAGGTTAAGAGAACATAGTTTTCAAAAAAGACCAGTATTAAAAAAAAGAAGCCAAGTACTCTGAACCAGCACAACAGGAAAGACCCCTTGGAGGCATCTCAGAATTAATCAGACTTCACCTTTCACAGGGATAAGGGTGCAAAATTGTATAGCTTTCCTCTGAAGAGTAAAGTTCCCTACTGGAGAAGGGCCACCTAGGGCAGTATTCTCTGACCTGTCTGGCACAAGGGACCAATTTCATGGAAGACAATTTTTCCATGAACAAAGTATGGGTAGGGAGGTAGTAGTTTTGAAATTAGATTCTTCTAAGAAGCACACAGCCTAGATCCCTCACATGCCTAGATCCCTCACATGTAGTACTGGTGCTCCTATGAGAATCCAATGTAATGCTGATGTAACAGGAGGCAGAGCTTAGGGGGTGATGTGAGTGATGAGGAGTGGCTATAAATACAGGTTAAACTTCATATGCTTGTGGCTATATAGCCCAATTCCCAAGAGGCCATGAACTGATCTGTTCATGGGGCTGGGGACTCCTGGGCCTAGGGAATTAGTTCCTATGATACGATTCACCGTGTTCATCCAGGCATTCAGAGGTCATTACAGCCATGGTTCAAGGGGGGCTGGCTACCACTGGAGCTGGTGGCAGAGCCTGATGTTATACAAATGGTGCTGGTTTTTCAGGCCTGCAGAATGCAAGAGCTGTAAGCCAGGAAGGGCTTATACCCAGATTTTAGAGTACCTGCAAAGCCGTCCTGACAGGGCAGTATGTGAAGCTGTGAGAATGAAGCTGAAGGGGCAGTGGAGATCCTAGGAATTTGGATGCCAGCAACATGGAATATTTGCTGAAGAAAGTCACAGGCTTCAAGCAAAGACACCAAGGGAGAGTCCACGTGAGTTGTAACCAGTAAAACCATAGGGATGGGCTACACTACAAGCCCTTTGGAGGTCATACCTCACTGTCATGCGTCCCAGATGCTAGATATGGAGCTATAGGATTTCATGTTTTCCCTGGTAGGTTTTGGTCTTACTTTGGTTCAGTTCCTTTCTATGCCACTAATTCTTTCTTTTGGAATAGAAATGTTCCTCTTGTGTCAATATGTTAGAAGTATTTAACTTTCTTTTGGGTTTGTACAGAGGCTTGAAGCTAAGAGTTGTTTTTTGTTTTGTTTTTCTTGAGACAGGGTCTTACTACATAGTTCAGCCTAGGCTACCTGAGTTCAAGGAAGGCCTTGAACTCAGGTAGCCTAGCCTGACCTCAAACTCATAGTAATATTCCTGTTTGAACCTCCCAAGTGCTGGGATTACATGTATGCACTATCACACCTGGCATCAAAACTAAGACTTGGCTTTAAATCTCAGAGCAGACTTCTCAAATTTAGCAAGTCGAGTTGTTAAGACTTTTGTCACTCTTAGAGATGGACTAAATGCACATTACACGAGATGGACATAAGCATTTTGGAGATAAAAGGCAGAAGTTACGTTTTAGATCTAGTTTTTTTTTTTTTTCTTTTTTTGCGGAACTGGGGATTGGACTCATGCCCTTGTGCTTGCCAGGGAAGCACTTATTCCACTGAGCCATCTCCCCAGCCCCAACATTTTAGATCTAAAATGACCCCCAAAAGTATTATTTTTGAATTATAAAGTGAGGACTACCATGCCTGATAAATGTCATGTGTTTAGAAGGTGACTAAATGATGGAGATGGAGGCGCTATATTCGCCAGTGACGAGCTCAGTGGCTGAGCACGCTGTTCAGAGGCAGGGCCTTGTTGGGAGTGGGTCACTATGGGCATGGCTCTTCCCTGTTCTCTGCTTCCTGGCCGCAAGGAGACAGGCAGCTTTTCTGCACCAGGCCATTTCTGCCTTGGATCTGGTAGATCATGCTCTGAGCCCACTGCAACTATAGCCTAAGATGGACCTTTCCTCCTCTGAACTGACAGTGCTAGGTGTTTGGCCCAGTGATGAGAAAAGGCTGACTGATGATTTGGTTGTATTTATGTAATAAACACTAAGTGCAAGCCTTCTTTTAGGCACTAAGAATATAATTTATACAGAGTATATGCTATATACAGGGAAGAAAATAAAATGAAACCATAAGAAGCAACCCAGGATAACTGACAATTGTGTGGTGAGAGAAAGTGCCTCTTTCCCCCTTTTTGGTACAGTATTAGCAAACAAACCCAGGGGCACTGCCACTGGGGGACACCCCCTCCCTCCCTGCCCCTTTTCGAGACAGTGTAAGCTGGCCTTGAACTCACTTATATAGTCCATGCTAGTCTCAAACTCACAGTGATCCTCCTGTCTCAGGCTCTCAAATGCTGGGATTACAGGTATGTGCCACCTTGCCCAGCTCCCCCAAACTTTCTTTACTTTTACTTTGATACAAGGTTTTCCTAAGTTGCCTGCACTAGGGTTAAACTTGTACTCTTCCTAGCTTGCTCTCCCACAGTGTTTAAGATTATAGGCCTGTGCTCAGTGGAATCTTGAGGAATATCTGAGCTGACACCTCAGAGAGATATGAGCAATTAAACGAAAACCTATGGATGGGGGCCAGCCAGATAGTTCAGTGGACTAAAGTGCATACTTA